AAGGAAGTATAATCACAGCACAATATGTGATTCAGCTATTAACAATATTTACAGTCACAACAATATAAACACTGAATAATAATTTAACAAAAAAAGTCATGTGGGGTTGGAGAGATGATAATACGACAGGTATTGCCATGCACACAGCCAACCTGGTTTCTATCCACTGCACCACATATGGTACTTGGAGCCCCGTCAGGAGTGATCTCTAAGCACAAAACCAGGAGTAAATCCTGAGCACAACCGGATGTGGCCCATAAACACTCCCCTCGCCAAAAAAATTATGTATATCAATATTGAGAGGCCGGAGGAAGAGGCCTGTGTATTGTGTATGTGTGTGAGTGAAATCCTAACCTTTCATAATAGGAAAAAGACAGATAATATCTAAAACAGAAACACAATGAAATCGAAGGATATTTTTAGACACGTAAGTGTAAACAGCAGAACATCTACAAGACTTGAATGGAATTGTCTGTGGAGAATGAAGCTTGGTGGGGAGACTAGAGGAACAAGAACACTACTTTCTGCGTGGTAGAATGAGATGGCTTTTAAAGCACTCCCTTCTTTTATGGAGACACGTCACTTAAACTCACCCTCACTGAATGCATGCAACTTGGTAATTCTGATCATGTATATAACTCAATGAAAGAGTAAATAGAGGGGGCTGGAGTGATAGAACAGCGGGTAGGGCATTTGTCTTGCACGCAGCCGACCCCGGTTCGATTCCCAGCATCCCATATGGTCCCCCAAGCACGGTCAGGAGTAATTCCTGAGTGCATGAACCAGGAATAACACCTGTGCATCGCTGGGTGCGACCCAAAAAGCAAAAAAAAACAAAAAGAGTGAACAGAACCAGCCCCCCCGAAAGTTCCCTCATCTATGAAGATTGCTCTGGGATAGGGGTGCTGAGGGCACACTTACTACTTCCACTGTAGCAAACCAAAGTTCTGCGATTCTCATGCAGGTAACTGGCCTGGGGAAGACACCTCACTGTCCACCGACCGTGGGGGGGCTCCAGCACTCAGCTTGAGCAGCAACTCCTTCAGGAAGATGCCATGGCTCCCTCCCTTCCACACTCCCTTCCTCCAGCCCGCTCTGACCTGCCTGACCTCCAGATCAGGCCCCCTTCCATTCACAAAGTCTGGCTCAGAGTGGGTGCTCAGAAAATATTTTGTACTGAACGCATGAAATCCAAGACAGAGATCATCACGAACAGGTGACTGAGGGAGCACCTGCCCGCTAGCTTGTGTTAAAGACCGTTTCTCTTTAAACATGAGCAGTGGGGAGAACTCACCTGACTGAGTACATACTTTGCATACAGGGAGCCAGGCAGGGTTGGGTTCCAGACATGGAACTCCCCCCATCCCCTCCTACCACCACGTTCCCCCCGCCCCCAGCACAAGCCAGGAGTAGCTCCTGAGCAACTGTGTGTGGTTCCCCAAATCAAATAGATAAATATGTTTAAACCATGTGAAAGGGGCTGGAGAGACGGTACAGCAGGTAAAGTGCTTTCCTTACCTGCAGCAGACCTGGAATCCATCATCAGCCCTGTCCCCCAAGACAGCCAAGAGTGATCCCAAGCACTGCAGGGTATGACCCCCAAACAAACAAATTTAAAAATAAAACTATGTGAAGCTCAGGTTTGGGGCAAGGGGGGAGAACTCAGAAACCTATGTGGCGACATCAGTTCCTTGTTGGAGGCGTCCAGAGTTACCTGTGGCCTGGACAGAACCCTGACAGCATCTGCCCCACAAAGGGTGCTCCAGGGAACCCTAGTGGCCGGCGAGGAGCCTCACCAGGGGGCGCCCTTCCATCATGCCCAAGAAGCCGGGAACTCCCGCTCTGGCCTCTCCCGCGGGAACTGAGGACAAACCCAGGGGCCTTCTCGCATTCCCTGCCTCTTGCCAGAGCAGAAGGCCGCCCCAACTGCAGTGACGCTGCCACCAAATCAGTGCTCCACTCAGCACAGGCAGCCTGCAGGACAGACATTGCCCAGAGCCCTTCCCAGGCCAAACCAGAGCCTGCCCTGGGCGCCCTCCTGCCGTTCCCCGGAGGGTCCCTAGCATCCTTTCAGTAGACTCGGCTCCATGACAGGACTGGAGCACGAGGCGGGGCAGTGTGTGTGTGTGTGTGTGGGGGGGGGGGGGGGTAGTTAGTCAGCCCTGAGCAGGGGGAATCAGGAGCAGCATCCACACTGGGTGCCACAGGAATATCCCGTCCTGGGCTCGCAGGAGCTGCTGAGGCCAGGGCTGCACAGGAAAGCTCAAGGCTCAGCCCGAAAGTTGGGGCTTCTGCAATCTTTCGAGAGCGCCTACTTTTCTCCACCATTATTGGGCCTGACCTCAAAATTGCTCCAATTCTGAAGGAATTACCCTCAAAGAAACAGACTTGGTGAGGCAACCGGGGCTAACAGGGACCCCTGGATCCTTGGCTAACACCCCAAGTGGTAGGGGAGAATGGGGAGTGGGCAAGGGCTGTGTCCAGGAGAAAGACCCCACTGTGGGGGAGGAGGGTGGAAAAAATCCTAGAGGCGTGTGGAGAGGGGACCTGGGTCTTGCAAAAGGTCTAAGAGCAGAAGGTTCCAGATGGACACCTGGAACTGGACAACTGAACCTTGCATCGCAGCGTCGTCGGAGCCCGTCCGGAGAACTTGTTTCCTGCACCAGCTTCCGGTGGGCTTCCTGTTCCCATAACCTGTCTGAGGGAGTGTCCAGGGGAGGCTGGAGGGGAAGATTTCACAACTCCAAGCCTTCCTTTGATGTCATCTAGTGCTAACACCCCTCCTCTACCAATCAACTGTTTGGGAAATAAAGGGACCCTTCTCATCACCACAGTGGGGGGCATTGGTCAAGTCTGGCTTAGAACTCCCCTATGTGCAGCTGCAGCGGGATACAGCTCACAGCTCACAGCCCAGAGCCAGGCTGATGCTGTCATGCACAGCACAGAGACAAGCGAAGGAGGGACCGGGGTGTGGGTGCCTGGATCCCCACAGGCTTCTGTGATGCAGCCACACCCTAAGAGCTGCACTCCCCACAGCAAAGGCCCCCAGCCAGGCTCCCTCTGAGAACTGGGTCACCTCTGCAGCTCTCCTGGGCAGGGTTCCAAACCCAGCCAGCCAGGCATCACCTGGGAAAGATCATTACCTGCGAGAGGGTAGGGGGCAGGGAGAGGGGAGTACTGGGGGGGGGGGGGGCAGGAGGGGAATGGAGGAAGTCGTTAGAGAAGCTGTGTGTATGTGTGTGTGTGTGTGAGGGAGAGAGAGAGAGAGAGAGAGAGAGAGAGAGAGAGAGAGAGAGAGAGAGAAAGAGAGAAAGAGAAAGAGAAAGAGAGAGAGAGCAGGAGACTGGCACTTGTCACTTCAGCCTTCATGTCTGGGCCAAGGTGCCCCCCACCCAACCATACTGCAGAGCCTGCCTTGCCCCAGTGCCCCAGGGCTCTGCCTGCCCACATCTTCTTCTGTGCAGTGAGGAAGAAAAAGGAAGAAGAAAAATGGGTATAAATGTCCCATCCAGGTGTGTGTGTGTGTGTGTGTGTGTGTGTGTGTGTGTGTGTGTATGGGGGGAGTAGGTGTTCTCTCCCCTGTGCTGGCTCTGGGACACATGGGTGAAGGGCCACATCCCTGAGGCCACTTCACGATGCATCTCCGTGACCCCAGACACTTGGAGCCACCCCTTTCTGCAAACAGCTCAGAAGTATGGGGAGGTGGATCAGGTGCCCCCCACACCCCCCAGCCCCTGACTGATAGCGCTGGGACCAACAGCATTTCCCCTGGTTTTGCAACCCAGCGGGCACATGCCCACACCCACTCCCACACCTCCACCTGTGCTTCCACCAACACTGCCAGGTGAGGCCCCCGGGACCTCTCCCCTACTCCCTGGTCCCAAACTCTGATCTGATGCCTGGAGATGGAGCCACAGCAGGTGGCTGGGCTGGGTCAGGGGGTCCTGCTTTTTTCCCTTTGTCTCATTCTGTCATGATCGAAAATGCTGTATTTGGCTTCACCACACACCCGCTGGGCTGGCTTTATTAAAAAGTCATGATGTCCCTGGCCAGACTCTGAGCATGGACAACCTTTGTCCCCCCATCTCCAGTGGTCGGAGAATTGCAGGCTCCCCAGAAGGGAGAGGAAGCGGGGACCCAGGGGTGATTCTCCCAGAGGGCAGGGGGCTGGCGGGAACAAAGAAGATCGACGGAGAGGGCAGATGCAAGAAGGGTCCCCGCCTGGATCCGGGACTCCACGCAGTGGTTTTGCGGGTGAGAAATAGCCCCGCGATTACCTGGCTGCGTCCCTTTTTGTCTGCGTGGCCTTGGGCACGCTCACAGCCTCCCCGGCCTCACTTTCCTCGCTAAACTCAGGGCTGGGGCGCCGCGGTCCTCTGCAGAGCCGGCTTGGGAGACAGAATGAGTCGCTGCAGAGTGGGTGCGGGGACAAAGGGCGCTGGGTGTAAAAAAAAAAAAAAAAGGTCCTGACTGGTCGCTCCTCGATTGGGGGTTAGACTAGGACCCAAGACGAGGCGCCGGGCGATTCCATCGGTTAGGTGGGTCAAATCAACCCGAAAATTTTCGCACCCCATCACGCTTCCGGTGGAGATAGGTCCTAAAGCTGGCCAAGGTGTAAACAATAAAAGTGCAATTCACAGTTTGCCGCTGGCGGTGAATGAAAGTGTGGGGGAGGGGCAGGAAAGCGCTCCGTGGCTGGGGGCTTCCGCCCCAGGTTGGCCACAGTGTGGGGGTCGATCTGGGCATCTCTGCGGTTCCTGCTCCCCCTGCGCGCACACGGAGGGGACACCGCTTTCTCGACCCCTCGGAGACAGTCGACGGGGTGGGAGGGTGGGAGAAGCCGGGAGGGTGAGGGGCAGGGGTTGCAGCTTGGGCAGGCAAACAGGGAGGGGAGGGGAGGGCCAGGAGGGGCGCGGGGCGCAGCAGCTCCGGGGGGCCGGCCCGCCCGGGGCCCGCAGCGCCGCCTCCCGGGAGGAAGGCGGGGGCCGGGCGGCGGGCGGAGGAGGGCGGCGCGCTGAGAGGTTATTTGTGGTTCGCTTTGATCCCGAGGGGGAACCTGAAACTCTCACATTCCTGGCATAGCTGCCGCCTCCAGCGCGGGCCGAGCCTGGGGCTGCGCGCTGCGGCCCGAGCGCGGCCAGAGCGTCGGCGCCGCCGCCGAGTGCACACCTCCGCCGAGGCGTCCGCCGGGCTCGCACCGCCCAGCACCGGTAAGCGCGGTCGGACACCTTCCCGGGACTGGGAGCCGGACGGCCCGGGCGTCCTGCGGGGATCCGGGAGTCCAGTGGGCCAAGCCCGGCCGGAACCGACCCGCTCCGGAGGTGGGGTGGGGGGGAACCTTGGGGAGGCGCGCCCCGCGCGCCTGGGCGAGGGGGCTCTGGATGGTGCGCGGGGTCCCTGGAGCTGCGAGTGGGGACAGGGTCTCCGGGAAGATCGGGTGGGTGTCGTGGGGTCTGTGGGAGAGAAAGGCGGATCTGAGCGGGAGGCACCTCTTGGGGAGCAAGTTGCAAGCACTTTTGGGGGCCGAGTCGGTTCGGTGGGGGCTACAGGTGTCTTTGTCCCGCGCCGGCCCGAGAATTTCTCTTTGTCTTCCTCGGAAAACCCTCTCCGAAGCCGCGATCTGGCTCTCACTTAGCAAGAATGCAGCTGCCGTCCAGTCGGGTGACGTCAGCGCTGGAGCATTTGGAAAACAAAGAGGGTTCGGGAGGGCCGAGGGAGGCGGGCCGGGGCCCCGACGCTGCGCGCGCCTGCTCGCCGCTGCCACCGGGGAGTGCGGGGCCGCGGGGCCGGCTCGGAGGCCCGGGGAGGCGGGCGGCGATTTGGCAGAGACCTTCGCCCTGCTTTCTTGGGCTACCGTGAGTCTGGCTGAGACCGGGAGTGCGATTCAGGGTGCGTAGTCGCCTGCGGTGGGCGTGTGGGGGGCGTGCTGCGGTGGGGGGTGGGGGGATTCGGGGAGTGCAGGTTTTGGTAACCTCGTTAGAAAGGGGGTGTGAGTCTGGGTCTGGCCGGGGACAGACAGAGGCTCGGGAAGAGGGGGTGTGTGTGCGAGAGGCCTCAAGGTGTTCCCGCCCCCAGCAGGGACCGGGGACGGTACCTGGAATCGCCCAAGCTGGTCCTTTGGGCCTGTCCTCCCGGCCTGTCGGTCAGACACTGATTAACGCCGGGAATGCCCCAGGGAGGAAACTCGAACGCCCAGTGATTCCAGTTTGTGTGGCCGCTGGTATCTGGAGTCTCCGCCTGCACCCCGCGTCAGGGAGAGGGGCTTGGGGTGGGATTGTGTGCCCTGGGAGACGGGTACGGAGGCGCCGACCGGGCTCTCCATCACTCACTCCGTCTGCAGGGAGTGGGCCGGGAATGGCCGCGCTCTGGGCGCGCTGCCAGGCCCCAAGGAGCTGGGCACCAGGCTTGCCGCTGTGGCCGGGCAGAGCCACGCCCCTCACTGCTGCCGCTGCCTTCCCCGGCCTGCGGTGGGGTGGCCTCGCTTGGGTTTTTCCCTGAATCCGGGTTTGGAGGCTGGTGTTGGAGGAAGCCCCGCGGAGACAGAGGCGGGAGTTGGGCAGCCTTCCAGGCATGCCCCTTCCTCTGGCCTGGCTGTTCCCTGCATATTAGCCTCTAGGGTTCCTATTAGCAGCCAAGTGTCCCCCCTTGCTCCCCACTCAGCTCAAGTGGGTGTTACTGGTGCCTAGAAGCTGTCAGAGGCTTTTCCAAGAAGTGTGTGTGTGTGTGTGCGCCGCGCAGGCATACACATGCATGCATGTGTGTGTTGCGTGGTGGACGTGGTCCTAAAACCACAGACTTTGTGCCAGCCTCTTTTCCTGAAGCTTTTTCCTGAAGACTGCCCAGCCTGCACCCACTCGCCCTAGTGGCTGGCCCTGGTCCTCCTCTCCCGGGTGCTTGTCATTGTCTGAGGTAGACACACTTTCTTCCTCCATCCTTGGTCCTCTTCCTGTTCCATCCTGTAGGGGCGCAGTCAGGGAGGGCTCATGGGAAGGGGGCCTGTGTGTGAGCTGTCTTGAGGCTGGACTTGGCCCTGCTTCTTGCAGCGGGTGCGGTGGACTGTGTGTCCAGGGTTTCTAGTGGACACTCCCCTCATCTCCTGTTAATGAACCAGGGCCGTGCACCAGTGCCTGGACCGCTCAGACAGACCTAGAGTGGACTGAGACCTGCCCTTTGCCTGGGCTCTTTGCTTGGTGGCTGAGCCAGGATGCGTGGCTGGTGTCCCTTCTGGTCACCCTGTAGGCCGGTGTCATTTTTCTGTGGGAGTAGACATCTTCGTGGAGACGACGCTGCTGGTAATCCCTTGCCCAGGATTGCCAGTGCCCATCAGGCATCGCCTCTTGTATTTCTCAGTTTCCTGAGGCAGGCATTCTTGTTAGACTTTTTTTTTTTTGATGGAGAAACTGAGGCTCAGAGGTTAGGCAACTTGCCTGAATCTGTCAGTGGAGGCATTGGCATTGGACCCAGGGCTCGTGTGTCCTCGCTGGCCCTAGCCAGATCCAGGGATGGAGTCCCCAGGCGCTCCCACTGATGGCTCTTCTTCCCCTCCCCCCCAGGTGGGCTGGCCAGCGTCCAGGCGGGTGTCAGAAGCCCAGGCAGCATGCGGACGCTGGAGGACTCCTCGGGCACCGTCCTGCACCGTCTCATCCAGGAGCAGCTGCGCTACGGCAACCTGACGGAGACCCGCACGCTGCTGGCCATCCAGCAGCAGGCCCTGCGGGGCGGGGCCGCGGGCACGGGCACCCCGCAGGCCTCTCTGGAGATCGCGGCCCCCGACGACGGCCAGGGGCTGCAGCAGGCCAAGAGGCAGGAGCCCCAGGGCCAGGAGCACCAGGGCGGCGAGCCCCACTTGGCAGAGAACAGCCTCTACCGGCTGTGCCCGCAGCCCGGCAAGGGCGAAGAGCTGCCCACGTATGAGGAGGCCAGAGCCCACTCGCAGTACTATGCGGCCCAGCAGGCGGCGGACCGGGACCCTCGAGGGGCCCCCGGCGGCGGCGGTCGCAGGCAGGACGAGGCCCTGCGGGAGCTGAGGCACGGGCACGTGCGCTCCTTGAGCGAGCGGCTCCTGCAGCTGTCCCTGGAGCGCAACGGCGCGCGCGCCCCCAGCCACATGAGCTCCTCCCACAGCTTCCCGCAGCTGGCCCGCAGCCAACAGGGCGCCCCACCCAGGGGCCCCCCGCCCGAGGGCCCGGAGCCCCGCGGACCTCCACCTCAGTACCCGCACCACGTCGTGCCCGCTCACGACACGGCCGCCGCTGGCCCCGACCCCCGGTGCCGCGCTCGCGGCAGTCCACACTTCCAGCATGCTGAAGTCAGGTAACGGCCAAGCTCTTGCTCCACCCCGCAGGCCTCCCCTGCTTCCCCTCAGCACCACTGCCCGCTCCAGAGAGCGGGGCTGCCTCCTGGAGGTGAAAGGGATGCGGCGCCCGGGTCTCAGGCCCAGGCCAGCCCCATTCGGGGATGCCCCGTGTCTGGCTTCGGGGGCGAAAGTTGCATTTCAGGAGCCCAGGGAAGAGGCTGAGCAGCCAGCACAGGGGGCTTTGCTCGTGGGAGGCCCCAGCTTCCATCCCCAGCAGCACCACCCTCCAGCGGGGAGGGAGAATAAGATAGGCCGAGTTTCAGAAAGACCAGTGGGAATCATGGAGGAACTGTTGGAGGTGTAGTGGGGGAAGGTGGCGGCGAGATGGTCCCTGGGGAGATTTAAGAGCTTTGGAGGAAGAAGGCGAGCAGGTGGCGCCTCCAGACACACGCTCCCCCCGCTTCCCTTCTAACTTTTCCCTGAATTGAGCCCAACCTGGGTGCAGGTGAGCCCCTTTGTGTGGAGGTGCAGGAGAGCTGGCTGGGAGACTGGGAATTTGGTTCCGAGCATGAGAGAAGGTCCTGGAAGGGGTGAAAGGTAAAAGGTAAAAGGCCTTGTGTGTAGGGGCGGGAGCGATAGCACAGCGGGTAGGGCGGTTGCCTTGCATGGGTTCGATCCCCGTCATCCCATACGGTCCCCTAAGCACCGCCAGGAGTAATTCCTGAGTGCAGAGCCAGGAATAACCCCTGAGCATCACTGGGTGAGACCCAAAAAGGAAAAAAAGGCCTTGTGTGAAGAAGGTCCCTTTGGCTGCCCAAAGCCTAGATTCTCAGGGGCCCCTGTGGACACAGGGAGACCAGGGTTGAGGCAGGCATCCCCAAGAATGTAGAAATAGGGGTTCCCAGAAAGGAGGCCCTTCCTCCCGCCCAGAAGCCCACCCACATCCGGGATGGTTGTGTCGGGCCCAGGAGCCTGAGGGTTGCAGACACCCTTCCTTGGCTGGCTCCGGGTCAAAGTCTGGCTCTCTTCATGCCTGCTGAGTCCTCTTTTACTCACCCCTTTCCCACCGCGGGGCCTCTCCTGGGAAAGATGCCTGTCCATGCTCTCGAGAGATGAGTGACGCCACGGCGGCTTGTCCCCACCTCTCCTCCCCGCCTTATCTCCCTGTTCAGGGCTTGGCTGGAGAGAGTTTCGGAAGCTGAGTCGAGGTTTCTTCTTTGGGAGCAATCCTTCGTGAACCCTGTCAGGAAAAGATAATGTCGGGGAAAGGAAGTCGGCTGTTTGCAGGAGAACACAAAGGGGAGGGGAAGGGCCAGGCCCAGGGAAGGCCTCGAGTGTGAAGGGAAGGGAGGCCATTCTTTCTCCAGCTAGGTCATCCCCAAAGAATGCCAGTTGTGTCTGCCTGGGCTGGGGGGCCAAGTTCATGAAGGCCCGCTGAGCCAGGCGAAGAGAGTCTTGACATTCCAGGGGGCCCAGCTCAGCTGGCCTCGGCGCCCCACCTCAGACAGGAAGAGAAATGCATCCGGTGGGATCTGGGGGGGTCCCGGGTAGTGACTTTTCTCTTGGCCTTACTTGCTCGGCTCTTAGAACAAGAATCCCTCGGATCCTCCAGCTGCCAGTGAAGTTCTGGGGCTCTCCTGGGACTTGGGAACGCCTTGGGGAGGCTAAGACTCTTTCATATGCAGGGTCCGAGGACCTCAGTGAAATCCTGAGAGTTCCCCTGTGTTTTACCCATCACCCCCACCCTCACATGATGCCTGGAGCTAGAAAGGCATTGTCCCCCAATTCAGGCTATCACAGTAGTCCAGAGGCATCCCACGCCTCTGGAAACCCGGTGTTGTTAAATAAGTCACACTTATTTAAGTAGAGTAAGCTTCAGTATCCCTGAAAGAGGTAGAAGGTAGACCCTGCACTGGGGAATCTCCTGTGGGCCCGAGGGAGCCGCACCATGGGGGGCCAATGATGTCCAGGAGGCCCTGGGTGGCCGCCTCCTGCCCTAGAAGCAGGGTGCTTTCAGCCCTGGAGTCCAGATTCCCTCCCCCACCCCCCAACATCTACTTGTCACTCCAGCCTTGGCCAGAGCTATCTCAAAGGTCTCTTTGGGGGGTGTTGGTGAGGAGGGGCAGGGGGTGAGTGTGCCCACGGCTAGGCCTGTGTCCAGCCCCGAGGCTGCCTGCAGGGTACACAGACAGGGTCACAGTGCACTCCTACCCCTGTGTCCTGGGCTGGAGAATGTACATGCTGGAGGTGGCTCCAGACCCAGCTTGAACTTTCTGTTGATCCAAAGGGCCGAGTGCAGGGCTTGTCAGAGCCTTTATCCGGCCTGCCCACGCTGACCCCAAGGTCCTGGCCATAGCTGTTGGAACCAAGCAAAGCGCCCTGACACGAACCACCTATAGCCCTGCGCTCCTGGGCCTGGAGAGTCTGGGGTCACCCAGACTTGCTGCCTAAGAGTGGGGAGACCAGGTCGGCCCGATCTCTCCTGCCCAGGAGAGCTGGGAGGTTGTGCGCACACTGAGGTGACAGCCTTGGGGTCCCTGACACCCTTGCCTTCTGCCCCCAGGATCCTGCAGGCCCAGGTACCTCCCGTGTTTCTCCAGCAGCAGCAGTACCAGTACCTGCAACAGCCCCACGAGCACCCCTCGCCCCCGCCCCCAGCCGCTTTAGGCCACGGGCCGCCCCTCGGATCCTTCAGCGCCCCTGGGTTGGAGGGGCCCGCCAGCACCCACGCCCCCTCAGCCACTGCGGGCAGTGCCCACCTGGCGCAGATGGAGTCAGTGCTGAGGGAGAACGCCAGGCTGCAGAGGGCCAACGAGAGACTGCAGAGGGAACTGGAGAGCTCAGCCGAGAAGGCCAGCCGCATCGAGAAGGTAAGCCCGGGGAACAAAGCCTGTACCTGATGGGGTCCTCCTCTGTCCTCCTGGGCCCCTGTCCTGCTTGCCCCGGCCCCACAGATGGCAGGGAGCAGCCGTGTGGCCTGCAGGCTGGCACATGAGCAGTGGCAGCCGTGGGGATTAGAAAGGGCCCATTCACAGCTCCCTGCACACTCGCACCCGGCTCTGCGCCCCCCCCCCCCTTTCTGGAGCACACCTCCCATAGAGAGCTCTTTGTGTCCCCCGCACAACGGCCCGTCTGTTCTCGGCCAGCCCTGGCCCAGCTCAGAGCCCCTCCTCTTGGAAAACAACTAGGACCTGTTGGCACGACGGGGCTGGCTCGGAGCACGTGCGGAAGCACAGGGGAGGGCATTGGGCCAGGCCCTGGTGGCAGATGGTGGCGGGGTGCCCACTCAGGCTAGGTGGCTTGGGCTGGGGTCTCTACCCCGTGCTGAGATGGGGTTTGCAGGTTTTCTGTGTAAGCAGGTGGCCTCTGTGGTCGCAGAGAGCAGGGACAAGCCCCCAGCACAAGACTGGATGCTGCTGTTCCCTGGGCCTTGGCCGAAGGGCCATGTTCAGCCCCTGGGGGTGGCTCAATGGTGCTGCAGTTTCCCTGCTTGCCAGCCAGCTCCGTTGATCCCTCTGCCTCCTGAGGCTGCAGCCAGTCCCCACGGACCCCCGAGGACTGGTTCCCCTTGTCTGCCTCTCCTCGGTCTCAGATGGGTCCTCCTGGGGAAGCACTGCCCAGGCGTCAGTGTGACTCTGTGTCTCTCGCAGCTGGAAGGTGAAATCCAGAGGCTCTCCGAGGCCCACGAGAGCCTGACGAGGGCCTCCTCCAAACGCGAGGCCCTGGAGAAGACCATGCGCAACAAGATGGACAGTGAGATGCGACGGCTGCAGGACTTCAACCGGGACCTTCGAGGTGAGCACCTGGCCGCAGGGAGCCCCGCTGGTGGACAGTCTTTGGGTCCCACCTGCGTCACCCAGACCCATAGCGGCTCCTCCCTGTGAGCTGACCTGGCCTGAGGGGTAGGCGGGAGCCCCCCACCCCCAGCTCAGAGAATTTAGCCTCACAGAGAGGACCCCAGGGTACCCCCACCAGGCAGCCCCCTTGAAAGAGCTGTCCTTCATTTTCAACAGAGAGGTTGGAGACTGCAAACCGCCGGCTGGCAAGCAAGACGCAGGAGGCCCAAGTGGGCAACCAGGACATGGTGGCAAAGCTGCTGGCTCAGAGTGAGTGGACGCCCCTGGGAAATCTGACTGTGGGCAACGGGGTCACGGCAGCTCCTCTGGGCCAGGAGGACTGGCCTGGTCTCTGTCAGCTGACCTGAGTGCTGCCATGCACTGGCTCTGGGCCTGGGCAGCAGGCACTGGCCTTGCTCTTGGTACAGTGTCAGTCACCATGGGGCACAGCGGGCCGTGGAAACCCCGTGGAGGAGGAGGAGGAGGAGGCGAGAGCTGAGTTTCTGGGGGGCTTTAGGCCAAGGAGCGAGGTGGGGGTTGCCCAGTGAAGCTGAGAGCTTTAAGCCCCAGAAGCTTGCTCATGGACATGACCGAGAGTGTGTCCTTGCAGCTTGAGGTTTGGTGGCATCCCTGTGGGCCCACCCGTTCAGGCGTCACTCATCCCTGAGCAGAGCCAGGCCCAGCCGGGGCAACTATGGTCAGTGTGGAGTGGTTGCAAGGTGCCAAGGTGGGGAGGGGCGGGCACTGAACTGGAGTGGGGGTCTGGGGTTCTAAGCACAGATTTGGGGAGTAGGGGTATCTTTGTGACCTGCCAGGGGTAGGGAGGGCTCTGCGAGTCGAATGGCTTTGTGAGACGGCCCAGGTGAGGATGAAGGGGTGAGGGTGGAGGGCAGAGGGAACCCCCAGGTCAGTGATGTGGAATGAGGGGAGGGGGTTGCAGAGAAGTGAACAGGAGGTGGGGGTGTCCTTCGAGGAAGGACTCTAGGAGTCCAGCAGGTGACCCAAGGCGGTGTCCAGGCGGGGCTCAGAAGGAGCCCTGCTCGGAGTGTGGCGGGGTGAGGGGTAAGGGGAAGGCCTCTGTGGCGGTGCATGCAGGAGGAGTCTGGGCTATCCGTGTGCAAGACCGATGGCAGTGAGGTGGGGTCTGGAGCAGGGGGTAAGAGAGAAAGGAGGGGGCAGCCCTGAGGAGGAGAAATGGGGTGTCTTGTAGAATAGGCCGACTTTGGGGGCCTGACTTGCAGAGAAAGGAAGTGGCTGGGAAGGTTCCAGAGAGCAGCTGGGGGAGGGGGCGTTTCCTCTCTCTGGGGAGTGAGCTGCCCCAGGGCTGTTCTCAGCTGTGCCTGAGACCTTAATCTCCCAGCCGCTGACCTGGATGCCCAGCATTCCTGAGCAGCCAGGCTGTTCCCTTCTTGGCCTGCCCACCCCAGAGCCCTTCACAGGCCAGCTTTTGGAGGGTGTGTGTGTGTGTGGGGGGGGGGGGGGGGGGTGAAGACAAAAGGAGGCTGAGACCTGCCCTGGCGGCCTGGATCCCACCCACCACCACCACCCCCCAGCCCCTTCTGCTAGGCCGGGTTTTATCCTGGCAGCTGGGTATGGTAGATGCTTGGGGAAGCAGGAAACTGTGGGTCTATGCCCCCCACCAGGGCCCCTAAGTGCTGAGGAACCCCCCCCCCCCACCTCCCCAGAGTCACGCTCGGAGGCAAGTGTCAGGGAATGGAATGGGATGGTCTCCGTTCTTCCCTTCTTCCCCAACCAGTCAGCTGCAGTGGGAAAGTCATTGTTCTTTCTGCAAAGGAACCTCCCTGAGCCCCAGCTCTGCCCCTTCGGGATAAGCTTAGCACCCCCTGGCCCCTGAGTTCCCAGGCCCTATGATGGGACTTCCACATTGGAGTGACGTGGGGGCTGGAGAGATAATACAGTAGGCAGAGTGCTTGCCTTGCCCACGGCAGACCCAGGCTTGATCCCCGATTCCCCATATGACCCTCTGAACCCTGCCAGGAGCGCAGGCTCCTTTCAGCCCCAACCCCAACTCGCCCTCCCGGTCTGCCCTGCAGCCCTCAGCGCCCGTGCATGGCCCCATTCCAGTGTGATTGAGCCCTTTGCCCTCGCCTCGAAGAATGAGGCCAGCCCGGACCCCGCCTTCTGGATCCCAGAGGGAGCCCGACCTGCTCAGGCCACCGTGCGCTCTCCTCCCCCGGGGCCCTGAGTCAGTGAGTCCTCGCCAGGCCTCCCAGCTCCCCAGCCTTCGCTCTACCAGTGCTGGCGCTCTGCCTTCCGTGCCCAAAGGGGAATCTTAATGAAATGCCATTTCCAACTCGCTTCCTGCCTCATGCTAGCTGCGTTTCGAGTGCACAGAAGGCCAGTGTGCCCCGTGAGAAGCTTCCCCTCTAGGAGATTTCACTGCCCAGCAAGCACTCCACTTGCGGCTTCTGTCTCCACGGAGGCAGGCATGGTCATTTTCCTGGGGCCCGGGCAGGACCTCCCAAGGGCAAGGGTCTTGGGCAGGTGATGGACACCTAGAGAGTCAGCTCGAGGCTCTGGGCTCTGGTTCAGGCTTTGCCTGTCCTGGCTGCGTGGAGAGTTTCTACGCTGGATGTCCCTGGGCAATTCATGAAGTCTAGAGGGCTAGAACCTCGGGCACCAATCTGACAGCACCCTCATTTTCTTCTTGGGGCAGAGCTTATGCTTCTTCAGGCATGAGCCTGCTGGTCATTGGCTCATGGTCTCCCCAGACCATGGACGGAATTTGGCACTGAAGTGGGGGCGCCTTGGGTTGGCAGCACGGACCCTAGAGCCCTGGCAGGGGTCTCCCAACACAATGAAAGGTCGACTGGCCCCTGCTGGCTAGGTTCCCGTCCTGGCTGGCTGTCCCTCTGAGCTGGGGCAGGCCCAGGGCGTCCCAGGTTCCACCCCGAGGGCTCTTAGTGGAAGGGTCTATGCAATGGGGCTCAGTCGGTGCTTGGTGGTTCCTGTCCCTGTCCTCTGACCTCTGACTCTCCCACTTGGGGATGACCAGGGCACTGCCCCCCTCCGTCTCTGTTCTCATGTTCCCCGGTGGGTGCCAGGATCCTGACTGGCTCCTTTTGTTTTTCGGTTTTGGTGGGGTTTTTTTTTTTTTTTTTTTTTTTTGCTTTTTTGTGTCACACGCTCAGGGGTTACTCCTGGCTCGTGCAATCAGGAATTACTCCTATTGGCAGGGCTTGGGGTGCCATGTGGGATGCCGGGGGATGAAACCCGGGTCTATCACGTGCAAGGAAACGCCCTACCCGCTGTACTATCATTCAGGCCCCCTTGGCTGGCCTTTTTGAAGGTGGTGCGACTCCAGGAAATTGTGACACCTGGTTGGCCCCTGGCGAGTCCATGACCAAGGGGACCAGCAGTGTGGCCCCATCATTGCAGAAAGGGCACGAGAGCCGGGCACCGATGCAGACCCCCTCCTTGACTCGAAGCCTGGGTTCCCTCCCTCATCAGCTCGGGTGAACCTTGGGATCTGCTGTGTGGGGAAGATGATCGATAGGGTCCTTGGAAGGAGCCGCAAGGGAGCTCGGGCACCCGGGGGTGCAGCGCGGGGCCCACAGGGGCGAGGGCGGCCCCTGAGCAAGCCCCCCCGCCCTGTGCCTACAGGCTACGAGCAGCAGCAGGAGCAGGAGAAGCTGGAGCGCGAGACGGCCCTGCTGCGCGGAGCCATCGAGGACCAGCGGCGGCGCGCTGAGCTGCTGGAGCAGGCGCTGAGCAACGCACAGGGCCGCGCGGCGCGCGCCGAGGAGGAGCTGCGCAAGAAGCAGGCGTACGTGGAGAAGGTGGAGCGGCTGCAGCAGGCGCTGGGGCAGCTGCAGGCCGCGTGCGAGAAACGCGAACAGCTGGAACTGCGGCTGCGCACTCGCCTGGAGCAGGAGCTCAAGGCGCTGCGTGCGCAGCAGGTGAGCCAGAGGGGCGAGTGGTGCCGCGGGGGTCCGCCGTCTTTGGCAGGGGTGGTCCAATGCCGGGCAGGGAACCTTGGGCTCCTGCGTGCAAAGCAAGCCTTCCAGGACTTTGAGCATCCCCCTAGCCCGGCCCCCGCAGGGTTCAGGGAGACTAGGCCAGGAAACTTGATGGGATTACCGGCCAGCTCTTAGGAGCCCAGATGGCCACCCAGAGCCAGAATCTTTATCCTGGCTTTGGACTCGTGAACGACTTGGGGCTTTACTAACCAGATCGAGTTCTCACCACGCCTCATCCTTCCCACGGAGCTAGGGTGACCAGACCTCAGGTTTGCCCCGTTCTGAGTTCACACCAGTTGTCTGTGGTGCTCTCTACCGAGGTGGAGTTGGTCTTTCCTGCACTTTTTTTTTCACCCCCGCCCAGGGATGGGTGGTGCTCAGGGCTTACTCCTGGCTCTGTGCTCAGAGATCACACATGACGGGGCTCAGGATCCTGGACAGGGTCAGCTGCATGCAAGCCCTGCCAGCCAGGCTCTATCTCTCCAGCCCTCTTGCCTGGAGTCTTGACCGCAGGATCAGAGCAGAGGGGTGTTGACCGGCGCCTTGGCCTCTGACTGGTCCTCCTTGCTTTGCAGAGACAGGCAGGCCCCCTGAACAGCGGCAGCGGGGGCTCCCCGGAGCTCAGTGCCCTGCAGCTCTCGGAGCAGCTGCGGGAGAAGGAGGAGCAGATTCTGGCCCTGGAGGCCGACATGACCAAGTGGGAGCAGAAGTACCTAGAGGAGCGCGCCATGAGGCAGTTTGCCATGGACGCTGCAGCCACGGCCGCTGCCCAGCGGGATACCACCCTCATCCGACACTCCCCCCAGCCCTCCCCCCAGCAGCAGCTTCAACGAGGGTCTGCTCGCCGGCGGCCACCGGCATCAGGAGATGGAAAGCAGGTGCGGCGATAGACCTGAGCTGGGGGTCAAGGGAGGGGGGACTCACTGCCCGGGCCCTGCCAGCCCCTGCTCTGGTGAGAGGTCATGCTCCTGCTCACCACACCCCCTAGGCCGACTCTTTCCCCAAGGAGAAAGTTCTGCCCAGCTGTGGGAATAGGGCCACTAGCTAATGCTCTCAGCCTCTTCCGGCCCCTTTCAGCCCCAAATGAATGCAGGAATCGACTTTCTGGCCAGGGCTAGGCAGGTTCTGCCTCCAACAGAATGAAAGGCTTAGGGAAACTATCTGCCCTCCAAAGGGCCATTGCAGCAGCCTTTCTAGGCTTCTTCAAGGCTTTCTCGAACTTGGAAGCACAGCCGTTGGCAGGAGAGAGAGTGCAGTGGGCAGGGTGCTGGCCTTGCATGTGGTAGATTCAGGTTTGATCCCCGACACTACTACGCTTCCTTGAGCCCTGGCGGGAGTGACCCCGGAACACAGCCAGGATAGTTCCTGAGCGCCACTGGGTGTGGCCCAGAAGCAGGAAGGAGAGAGGGAAGGAAAGGAGGGAGGGAGGGAGGGAGGGAGGGAGGGAGGGAGAGGAACGCAACAGGGAGGGGAGGGGAGAACTAATTGATAGAAGGAAAGAAGGGGCAAGGAGAGAGGTCAAGCCCTCAATGCCAACTGAGACCATGGCAGGGGACCTCCCCTCTCAGGCCGGATATAGTGCTGTTGACCCTCCAGGTTCCCCCCAGTCATGTCCAGGAAGCAGACTCAGCCTCACGCACAGATGATATCACACACACACACACACACACACACACACACACACACACACACACACACACGTCCAGAGCTGCCCTGGCATTTCTGAAGCCCCCTCCACTCCATACCAGGGCCTTCCCCATAGATCTCCCCGCGGCCGGGGCTGACGCGGAACGTGCGTCTCTCCCGCAGGCTGAAGGTGCTGCACGCCCAGATTCTGGAGAAGGACGCGGTCATCAAGGTGCTGCAGCAGCGTTCCCGGAAGGACCCGGGCAGGGCAGCCCAGGGCTCCCTGCGGCCCGCCAAGTCGGTGCCGTCTCTGTTTGCAGCCACGGCAGCAGGCCCCCAGGCCTGGCACAGACTCGCCTCCACCGAGCAGCCAGTGGACACCCTGCCCCGGATGGCTGCAGGTGAGAGAGAGGCAGCATGCTGGTCCTCGGGCTCCAGGGGCCCCACCTCCATGGCTGTCCCATCCAGGCCGTGGCCAGCACCCACCCCCCCCACCCCTCCACCCTCCCCCCACTGGCTCAGCCCCTGACATTTACCAGCCTGCAGAAGGAAAGGTGTTTGTCATCAGCTCCTTCACTCCTCAGCTCCTTGGCCCTAGTGTCCCTCCTGGTTTTCAGGTTTAATCCGCAGAGAAGGGCTCACCAATAGGAAATATCTAGAACCCGCTCCCCGTGGTCATTATGGCCGTTATGGCCAGGGCCCGAGCTTGGGCACAGTGGAGTTAGATGCTCACCTCTCGCACTGCCTACCAGGTCGAGCCTGACCAGGAGTCAGCCCTGAGCATCACTAGGTAGAGCCCCCAAATCAAGAAAAGAAAAAAACAGGAGCATTTAATCTTAACAGAAATTCTTATAAATCAAGAGCACCTCCTCCTACCTGTTGTCACCCCACCCCAGTAGGTGACAGTGAGCTGGGGCGTTCTTTATGGGGGTGGGGGGGGGATTGCATCTTTGCATCATCTGTGGACCAGGGGGTCACAGTCTGCTTCCTTCCCGGCCTTCCAGCAGACAGGAGCCCTGCAGAGGATCCCGGGGCTGTGACCCCGCTCCCCGCTCACTCCAAGCACGGGAGCAGAGATGGGAGCACTCAGACTGACGCACCCCCAGACAGCACCCCTGCTGGCCTGGGCCTGGAGCCCGACAGCCTTCTGGGGTGCAGCCGAGGCCAGCGGACAGCTTCCCTGGGTAAGTCCCCACAGGCCCTGGGCTTCTGCACTGGGTGGCACTGAGGGGAACCCAGGCTCCAAGACCTTCCCTTCCCCCAGCCCTGCCCCATTCACTCAGCACCCCAGGGGAGCACTGCACAGGGCCCCTTTGTCGTGAGCAGTCTAGCGCTGCAGAGGAATGAGGACTCGGGCCCGGCTGTGGCCCTCTCTCCTGCCCTGTGCAGAGCTCCCGTGGGGTGCCGGAACCAGGCATGGTGTCTTCCTTCATGACTGTCACCCATGAAAATGAGAGGGCCGTGTGTGGGGGACTTCCCTGGCAGTGGTGCTCACACAGGGAAGGAGATTCCAGATGCCCTTCCCAGGCTCTCCGTTCCCCTGCTCATTCTCCTCTGCCTAGTTCCCTGTGCCGCTCACCTCCCTAAACCACAGGCACGCCAAGAATGAGGCGGCTGCCCCGCCTCTGTCCCTCCCCACCCTGCAGGCCCTCCAACCAGATCCCAGGACACACCACACCAGAGGTGGAGGGCCGGGCCAGAGCCTTGTGGCCTGGCTGGGCGAACCTGGGGCTGAGGCCTGAGCCTGCAAAGCTGACGAGGAAAATTGTGGAATATAAAAATAACACAATATGAGACTGACTACCCAAGGACAGTAGACACAAGGGTCAGGAATACTGCCCCATAGTTGGCAGCCTGCCTCATGAGCTGGGGAAGAAGGCAGCTGGGATAGAGAAGGGATCACTGAGTCAATGATGGTTGGAGGAATCGTTGGGGATAGGAGATATGGCTGAAAGTAGATAAAGGACCAAACGTGGTAGCCTTTCAGTATCTATATTGCAAACATTAATGCCCCAAAGTAGAAAGTATGGGGGAAATTGTTTGCCATAGAGGCAGGGGGAAGATTGAAGAGGAGGGCGGGTATAATACAGGGGACATGGGTGGTGGAGAATGTGCACTGGTGGAGGGAGGGGTGTTTGATCATTGTATGATTGAAACTCCAACATGAAAGTTTTGTAACTGTCTCTTCCGGTGATTCAATTAAAAACTAGTAAAGCTGACAGGAAAGTTCTCCTCCGTGGGAAATGCGCCGGGCTCTACAAGAGCGGATGGTCATGCTCTCGTCTTGTCTCTGCAGATTCCGTGGCTCCATCCCGGGTGCAGGACTTGGCGGATATGGTGGAGATACTGATCTGAAGGAGGTGTTGCTCCTGGGACTGGCCGTCAGGCCCCGTGTCCTCTGCCTGTGGCGCTGGTGACCAGTCCAGCAGTCCCTCCAGTGGCTGCATCTCTACCATCCTCAGTGGCCACTCGCCTCCCCTTGAGGCCCAGGAGTTCAGGCAGGACGCTGCAGAGTACAAGGACCCTGACCCCGTGTCACCCTCACCTGTGGCCCAAGGCTTGCTGCTGGGGGTACAGCTGCAGAAGATTCAGGAAGAAGCTGTGCCCCCCTGCACACCCCTGCTTGGCACTCAAGCGGAGAGAGCGGGAAGGAGGACATAGGTTGGAGCAGGGGCTGCTTTCTGAGGACAGTCCCCCCGTGAACACGGGGCAGGGTCTGGTTGGGAAATCAAGTCAGCGGCAGAGTTGGTGCCCTCTGCCCAGGCCCACCCGACTGCTGTGGCCCTTGACTGCCATCCCCCAGGTTGCCCGAGAATCTCCATCTTTGGGAACTGTTGAGGGGGGTGACTCCTGCAGAAAGCCACAGGCTGGCTTCTCGGAGGGGACCCTCCTGGATCGAGACTCTCTAACGGGCTTGTGAGCAGGAGGCGAGCCCACTCTGCCTCGTCCAGGCGCTCTGCCCCCAGGCCTGCCATGGCTCTGGCTCCAGCCCTGGTGTGCTGCTTCCAGATTCGGATGCTGACCGATGCCCAGGAGACTGGCCACTGCGCTCCTCTCCCACGTCCTGTTTTAAATGCCCCCCACCCCACCCCTCTGCACCACCTTGAAATGGCTTCACAGCTCCTGTTCCTGGACGTCCCGTCAGTTTGTTTATGAGCCCTGAGCCAAGAGAAATGAGCCCTGTATCCCCCCATCCACCCCCGACAGATGCCTGCCCTGGTGGACTCTGGCACGATGCTCTAGAAGGAAGCTGAAGAAAGTGGCTGTGTCTCCATCAGTCTTTGTTCCCACCTGAGGCGGGATGGAGGGAGCCTGGGTGAGAGCTGATGCTTCAACCAGGAGGTGCCATCCCTGACTGACTTCCGGTCTTGACTTCCCGTCTTAACGAGGCCCCCAACTCGGCCTGGGAGCGAGGAGCGGGTTTTAGCAACGTGTCTCGACTGTGTGTAGATCTTGAATCTTTGTGTGTTGTTATTGTTGTTTTTTTCCTTTACTGTTTTTAGGTTCTGTTTGTGTTATTTTATTCCCATGGTTCCTTCAAGTTTTCCTTTTTAAACACTTGCATTTGCTGGACAATTGCATTTTTTTTTAAACCCTCTCTACCCTCTCTGAAAAGCTGAAACATCCATTTGGTTCATGTGCATTGTTTACAAAGCAAAAAGAAAAAGTGAAGAAAAAAGAAAAACTCGTGAAAGGAAAAAAAACACTTAATATATTTTGGATTAATATTTGGTATTTCTTTTAAAGTATTTTTTTTGTGCTGTGAACATTTTCTGCCAAAGACCATGATGTGCGTCTGTATGTTTAAGTTATCGTAAATATTTAAAATGTAAACATGGCTGTTTTGTTACGCCACCTGTACCAGGATTGCTGCTGCATTCCACGGGGTCTAACAGTATTTTAATAAAAAAACACTAAAGTGGTGTCTTGGCATAGGGGAGAAACTCACTGAGGGGAAGAAAGGTGGGGGGAGGGTGTGAATGCAGCCCCTGACCCCTCTCAGCCTTCACCCCATCTGTGGCAGTGCCCAGTGGCAGGCCTTGAACCCTGGGTGTCCCCTTTGAGCCCTTCCCAGGCTCTGTGCCTTGGTTCTTAGATTCTGGCCAGAGTGGACCAAGGCTAGCCTCCCTGCTGGAAAGGAAGGCCACTTCCCCGTTTCCCCCCCCTCGCCCCCCCCCCCCCCCAATGGAGCCACTTTAGGCCTCCTAGACCCAGGCCCAGAGGACAGTAGTGATTCCCCGAGGCCAGTTCCGAGGCACCTCCTCCTCATCCATGAGGCCACAGTGAGGCTGGGAGGCTCAGGCTGGGAGGCAGCCTGCCCAGGTGACACTGTCCTTGGTCATACTAGGTGACCCCCTCCTGCACCAGAGATGGCCACAGAGGGTCGGGCATGGGGTATGTTGTGGAAGATGTGTGTATTGAGGAGGCCTTTCTATGTTATGCAGCCTGTGTGCTGTGGGGGAGGTGTGTGTTATGAAGGGGGGTTTGTGTGTATGTGTATGTGTTGAGTAGAGGGAGTCTTGTGGAGTTGTGTTGTAAAGGGGGTCATGTGTGTGTGGTGTGGAGAGTGTGTGTTTTTGAGGGGGCTGTGTGTGTGTGTGTGTGTGTGGTGTAGAGGGGGTGTGTGTCATGGAGCTGGAGCCCACCCTGGCAGGGCAGGGGGCTGGGGGTCTGCATTTGTCTTTGGACGTCCTGGCACCCCTGCCCACTGTCCCGCCCCTGAGCCCCACAGTCAGGGAAGCACAGTGCTCTGATCTCTAGCAGAGAGACCCCAGAGAGCCCCAGCAGGCCGCAGGACAGACCCCACAGGATTCCCAGGGCCAGAGGAGGAGCTTCAGGGCAGATATGGAGAACAGTCGCTTCCCTGCCCCAGACATGCAATCAGGCTGGTGGCAGAATGGAAACCACCCCAGGACTGTAGGACCCCCGCAGATCTGGGGCATCTCCATGGGACAAGATAGACCAGCACTCCCATGTCACGGCCAAGGCTTGCACTTCAGGGACCCAGCAGCCCCAGTGAGTAGGCTCAGACATACGCTCCAACCAAATGACTGTCCGTCTGGGCTGGAGAGGGAGAGAGAGAGAGAAAAGTCGAACACATATGTGGTATGCTAGAGGCTGGGGTTTGAGGCCTAGCACCACATGGTCCCCTGAGCAACTGTCTGCAGAGCAACAAGTACAAAGTCGTCCCCCAGCACTGCCAGGTGTGGTCCACAAATACAAATGACCAAGCATTGACTTGCTGTACCCTAATCGGAGCTGCAAGTCAGGGTTCAGTTGCCTGGAAACGGCTGAAGCCCCAGCCCAGCTGTGCTCTTCACAGGACACACAGTTTACACACTGTTAAACACCCTTCACAGCGCTCATTTCAGGGCTGTTTTATATCACTGTGTCCACTTAAGGCCTCAGTCTACCATGGTGAGCAGTGGGCTCACACACAAGGCCTCCATTTCTCAGGAGGTTACGCTGGCCTTTCATGGCTGGCAATCTGCTGCTCCTCCACCTTCTGGCTGTGCCGCTCACCCCCACCATCACACCCCAGGCCCCAGGACAGCGGGCATGCCCGCGAGCTGAGCCCCAGGCACTCAATGTCTGCCCAAGGCTTTCCAGAGCCTTCTGTTTTCTGGGCCTGGAGCTTACAAGGCTGGGAGGTCTTCTTAGAAAGAATGGATAATGGCAAAGACCAAGTTAGGTCTCCAGATGCTGGAGCAGTAGTCCAGCAGGTAAGGCTTTTGCCTGGCACCTGGCCAACCTGGATCGGATCCCCAGCACCGCGTAGCCCTGCCAGGAGTGATCCCTGAGTGCAGAGCCAGGAGTCAAGCCAGAGCAACTCTGGATGTCGCCCCCCAAATCAAACCAGAAGAAATTAGGTGTTGATTCAGAAAAGGGGCTGCTACAGGGAGCCCCGAGACAGAGCTGAGGGAGCCCCCAGGTAGAGGTTCTGCTGCCTTCACAGTAACTGCCTGGGCCCGTGGCGCTGGGCTCCCCATGGGAACAAGGCCCCAGGAGTGACTCCCAAAGGCCTGTGGAGCCGGACACCAATAAAACGCAGCTGCCCCCACCCACGGCACATCAGTGGCTGCAACCCCCTGCTGTGGGAGGGAGTCATGAGGGGCCTGGGCACAGGTGTGAGGGGAGGAGGGTCTCTCCTGTGGGAGGGAGCCATGAGGGGCCTGGGCCCGGGTGTGGGAGGAGGAGCGTGTCCATGCAGCCAGGACTCAGGGACTCCTGCCCATGTGGCCGACCCACCTCGCACCCTGCACTCACTCCTCCCAGAACTGGGGCGCATCTGAGAGCCTGGCCAGCCTGGCCACCTGATGGTGTCCAGGACAGTCTCCTCTACCCTGAGGGCCTGTCTGTCCACTTTCGATTCTGAGGCAGTTCGATGTCACAAACTGTCCCCAGATGAATGTCTCCTGCGAGTCCAAAGGCTTCTGCTCCAGGTGGGTTGGGCAATTGTGGCCGTTCCCCAGGGCCACTCTGCCTCTTGCATCAGCCTGACCTTCTCCGCTCCGGCAGGCCGGGTTCAGTTGCTCCTGCCCAACACAATGTACTGTGGAAAATCCGCATGGCCTGTTGCATCAGCAGCAAAAACACACAAAAAGTCTCAGCCAGCGTAACCCCTGGCCTGGCACCAGCCACCACTGAGGATGACCCTGAAAGTTCCTGTGATCTGCTTACATTTCAAAGCCGAGTGCTCCTTCCCAGGTGCTCCCCTCTCCAGGGGGGCTTCTCCTTACTCCCGCAGAACCCTGGGTCCATGGCCTCTCCTTCATTTCTTCATTCCTTCCTTCAAGCTACAGGGAATACACCGAGGGCCAGCACTGTGACAGGCTCTGAAGGGGCAGGGATTTTTTTCAGAAGGCAAAGTCTGGCCTAAACATGTTTCTACCATCTGTTTTATCTTCGTTCCTCACCCCAAGCCAAAAGCAGGGGTGCTTACAAGTGTGGGGTAAATGAGAAGCCTTGATGGGAGCTGCCTCCGTTTCCTCTCCTGGCTGAGCTGTACGGGCACAGCCAAGCCCCGGAGGGCCTAAGCGCGGCCGTCTCACCTGCCCACATGCCATTCCTTCCCTCTGGAATGCCTCCTCTTCTCTCCTCCCTCTCTGCCTAGTCAACCTGAAGCTCCTCCACCCGTCTGGGCTGGCTGCCTCCTTCCCGTTCCCTAGGACCAGTGAGGGAGCAGGGGAGACCCTCCGACCAAGGGGACAGTCTAGCAGAGTCAGACACTGCGTGGTCAAAGAATATACCAGCCTTTGCTGTGACACACAGCCTCTTCCTGTGCTGGACAGTAGCCTGCAGGACGCCGGGGCCCCCGAGGCCGACGCTACTCTCTCTCACCAGACGCTCTCCATTCCCAGAGCAGGAAGAGCATGAGGGAGATGCTACGGGTCAGACGAGGAGAAGCTGAGCCCCGGGACTTCGGCCATAGTGGGGAGAAGGGGTTGAGCTGCGCTATGGGTGTGAGCCCAGAACGGGCCCTGCAGGATGGCTCGCTTCGGAGGCCAACCCGGGGACTACTGACCACATGGGGGGTGGCAGCAGGAACCAGAGCTGCCTTCAGCCCAGGAGCGCGACAGTTTTCATGAGAGCAGCCGATCCTAGTCAAGGTGCTGAGTCCCAAGACTGGCTCACAGGCGTTCCGACGGTGAGCTCTGGGCTTACAGCCTGACCTGGGGGCCAGGAGATGGTAGCTGGCTCCCCCACCCCCCGTCCTGGACAGTCGACGAAGCTGAACCTGCTCCAGGTCCTCTTCTACCTTTGCTCAACAAAGGGCCACTAAGGGCCCACTACATGCCAAGTATGAGTCTCAGAGTGAGGGGGGCAGTGAAAGGTGGGGAAGGTTGCAAATCAGACAAGCCCCCCCCCTTCCCAGGGAACTTACACAGGAGCAGAGATGGGGTACAGGGAAGACATATAAGAAACAGGATGAATAGCATGGGGTGTGTGTGTATGTGTGTGTATGGGCGCACACATGTTGGGGTGGAACATACACAAAGCAAATACTCAACCGCTGACCCATATTCCCACCCCTGGAAAAGGATTCCTTTAGTTTTTGTTGCTATTGTTTCTTTTTTAAGCATAGGACATCACTGCCCTCCCGTTGTTCATCGATTTGCTCGAGTGGGCCCAGTAACGTCTCCATTGTGAGACTTCTTGTTACTGTGTTTGGCATATTGAATACTCTCGGTAGCTTGCCAGGCTCTCCAAGAGGGGCAGAGGAACCGAACCCAGCTCGGCCGGGCTGGCTGCGCGCAAGGTAAACGCCCTACCGCTGTGCTACCCGTGATGTATTCGATATGCCAAACACAGTAACAACAAAGTCTCCAATGGAGACATTACTGGGCCAGCTCGAGCAAATCGATGAACAACGGGAGACAGTGACAGTGACAGTGTTTTTTTTTTTTTAATTTGTTTTTGCTTTTTGGGTCACACTCAGTGATGCACAGGGGTTACTCCTGGCTCCTGCACTCAGGAATTACTCCTGATGGTGCTCAGGGGACCATATGGGATGCTGGGAATCAAACCCGAGTTGGCCGAGTGCAAGGCAAACTCCCTACCAGTTGTGCTATCGCTCCAGCCCTTCTTTTTTGTTTGGGTGCCACACCCAGCAGTGCTCAGGGATCTCTCCTGACAGATGTGATCAGAGGACCATATGCGGTGCTGAGGATCAAGCCCAAGCTACTGTGAGCAAGACAAGCGCCTTACCCACTGTACTATCTCTTCAGCCCTGGGACAACAATTACTAAAGCCTCTTGGGCAAGAAGCTGGATGAGGTTTTTCCCCAATCTGCTTTTGTTTTTCTGGACTAGGTCAAATTGCTCTAGGATCTGTAGAGCCCTCTATCTGTGGCTGAGAAGTTTCTGGAGGCTCCCTGCCCTTCCTCACAGTGCTGGTCTCTGCTCTGTGTGTGTTTCC